ATTTTTCTTCATTCTCAAAAATCTTATAACCAAATTACTTTTGAACTTTGCTGCAATAAAGTTATTATCTTTAAATTAGCAAAAAAGATTACTTTTAATAGAAAAAATCTTAAATTAGATAAACCAAAGAAGTTCATTGTAATAGATGAAAAGACAATCATTTGCCAAATCAACATTAGGAAGGCTGAAATACTATTGACATTGCTAAAAATCTTAACAATATTATCAATAATCTTGTATCAACCTCAAACCATTTGAAATGTTCTCAAGAAATGGAATATGAAAGTAGTGGTGAAGAAAAAAAAACCACTATTATCTACTTGCCATCAGAAACAACACTTGGATTTTACTTTGAAGTACAAAGAATGGACTGTAGAGGATTGGAAGAGGGTTATTTGGTCAAATGAGACAAAAATCAATAGATTTGGTTCAGATGGTAGAAAATCAATGTTGAAACAAAAGGGTGAGTGGTTGTTTGATAAGAAGATCTAAGAAAAAATTAAGCATGGAGATAGAAATATAATTGTATGAAGTTGTATGGGATGGAATGGAATTGAGAGGATGGTAGAGGTTGAAGAGAGGATAGATGCTAAGCAATTTGTGGAAATTCTTGAAAAAAACCTACTCCCTAGTATTGAAGTATCTAGTATTTTTGAAGAGGAGGTGATTTTTCAGCAAGATAATGACCTTAAAATAACTCAAAACTAGCATGGAAGTGATTTGATTACCATGGGATTAAAGTAATGGATTGGTTTGCTCTATCTCTTGATCTTAACTCCATTGAACATCTTTGAGAGCACCTCAAATGCTAACTCAATACCTAGAAGATAAAACCAAAAAGAATTTGGAAATTATAAAAAAAAAAATAGTTGTAGAATAAAATAATATTGAAGCAATTTTGTGCCAAAAGTTAATAGAAAGTATGCTCGGGAGGTAGAAAGTAGTTATCAAGGTCAAAAGAGGTCCTACAAAGTATTGGTATGAAATTGGATACTACACTCAAAAAAATGTTTCAATCCTATTCCAAATTAGATTGGTCATAGCTCTACAATTACTTGATGGATTCTTTTCAACCTAAGCTCATTTCATAGTTATAAAAGAGTATTTTATTTACTATACAAACCACGTGTCATTGTTCACTACAATTCATGTGTAATACACCATTCTTTCCAAAATATGTCAACATTGAAATAATTTTTTGAGTCACTATATATATATATATATATATATATATATACCTTAATTTATAATCACAATGAATAAATTTTTTTTAAGCTATTATCAAGGATATAAATAAATAAGAACCAAAGATTCAATATATTCTTGTGTCACTAGAAAAGAAAAGATAATAGTCAAAGATGGTACAATATTAAAACTAGATTGGCTAATACTAAAGACAAAAAGTCTAGAGGCTCTTGAAACAAGACTTAAAACAAGAAATGCATCAACAAGAATGAAGAAGGCTTCACTCTTATCTTCACATATAAAACAACAAGAGAGATAGATAAAAATTAAAATAATAATAATAATAATTAATTAAAAAATTAAAACAAATATACTATGGAAGAACAATCAAAATTAAAAATCAACAACATGTTCATTTTTAAAATATAACAAAAATAATTAAACACTTGTATCAAGGCTTCTTCACAACACATTAAAAATTACAACTATGATAATAAACAATCACCAAAAGGTGGAAGGAGGGTGGTTGCGTAGCACTGTTGGTGTGTGTTGGAGACTCCTACTGCCACAAGTCAGAGCTCTGCGGCGGCGTTGCGGGGAGTGCCTCACCTGAATGCATCTTTTCTTCGGAGAGCCCGGAAGGCTAAGACAGAATTCGATCGAGATTGTAGACTGCAGAAGTCTAGGCATCTGTAGCTACTGGAAGTTAAACCCGGGGATTCTCCGCCACTGGTATGTACAGTGACTAAACCATGCCGAGGCGTTTGTGCAAACTCACTTGCATCGATTTGGTTTCTGTATGAGTTTCACAAAAAAATCGTCTTCGTTTCTTGAAAATTGGTTAGAACAGGTCGGTCGATTGAAAGACGAATTGTAGCAATGCGGTAGCCTCACATCACTCGATTAGCGGGATGTCATTTCATCGATTAAGTAGTCTGCAGGTGAGGGCAGCTTCGAAATTTTCAAGATTACTTCATGAATTTGCCACAAATACTGAAATATAAATTCTAACCCTTATCCTTCCCCTTGCAATCGAGGAATCGTTTTGTTAGGGACTACGTTATTAACAATTCTGCGTGCCAATAGAATGGTTCTCCAATGCTGATCCGAATATCAGTAGACGTGTCTTCTGTTTAGTACGTCCGACGGTACAATCCGAGCAAAATGCCTGTCACGCAACTTGTGTGATTCAATCGCTGGTTGAATTCAGCGTCTATTAGATGTATTTTGTGGTGTGATTGTTTTTGGAAACGCAGAATATTTCTTTGGAAACGAAGAGAATGCGTCTATATGAGCATCCAGACATCTAACGGTTCCGAAGGCAACTTATAACTTAGGTACTTGGAGTCGAGAAGAATGTTTCAGGTAGTCCTCTTTTTCAGGCAAATGGTCATGATTTAACGCAGGGAGAGAAGATCCGGTAGGTTGAGCGAGAGCTTAATGATCTCTTAATGCCAGCTTGTGGGGATTTCAATGAGCATGACCGAGGTCAACCATCAACTCGTCTTCTTGTGATTTTATGAAGGAAAACTTCGTCAATTACATCTAGACCAGTTGCAGACGCTTGTACTTGGCCTCCTCCCGACTTCAAGATTCGGTTCGCCACTAAACAAGAAATGTCAGTATCTACATCCGTTTGCTACATGCTCTTTTAATCATAATCACACGGAAATGAGGAACAGCAGCATCTTATCGATGGGATTGGATCCACTTCTTACATTTTCGTGCCTCAATTTCAGTTTCTATTCCTCAAAGAAGGTGTGGTGAGGGTGAGAAGCATAAAGAGGAATATTTCTCACATCTTATGGTGTTAGTTTCGACAGCTGCGATGTGAGCGTACGATTTACCCGAGTTAGTTGCACACTATTAATACCCTGTGTCAGAAAATCTTGCTAGTCATTTGCCTCCAACAATTGATGCCGGATTTCGATGATCCAAGCATTGGAAATGGCACATGCTGTTCTAAGTTGAAGCATGCCATGGCTGTTCGGGAACTAATAACAGATATCTTGTTTCTTGGTTTGCTAGATTTTGGTTATTCCAATGAGACTCGTGCATTTTTGTTCTCTTTGACACTGATAATCCATGACCTCAACCATGAATGTCGCAATCGCAAGTGAGCTACAGCATAATTGAAGCCATCGATTATCAGTATGAGGTTTATGGTTGTGCGAGTTGTGTGCCTTTCATTGAGGACACTAGGTAATCAGCCTGCACTTCCTGTGTAGGATGCTGAAATCATTCGGAGACCACAGCTGCGTTATCACCGTCAATCAATGAAGCTGGTAATATCTGAACCCATCCTAGTTTTCTGTGGAACATTGAGAACTTGTCAACCTGGTTTACATCCATTCAACTAGCAAGCATATGACAAGATTCTGTTCGTCCACTCTCCTACATGTCTTCCTCTCTGTTTCTAGGACAATGTGTCGTTCAAATTTCTTTGCTGCGGTTGCAATCAGCTCTGCTGTGATGCAGAGAGCAATTTCGCCAGAAAAAGCTGGTTACGAACCCCGGAATATTATTTACCCTTAACTAAAAACGAAGCTCGGTAAAAGTGCAGCAAGAATATTGCAGAAAGGATGGTCCAGAATTATTTGCAAGGTGGGGCTTCATGTGATATTAAATCAAAGTGGTCTAGTCGGGACAAAGGAACTTGATAATAGAGACATCTGTCATATCTTAGGAGGAAGATGTGGCGGTCTTCTGCACCGCTGGTTGACCCTGTCAGGCGGGAAGTATGGGCTTACATGAGTTTTCAATGAGCCACTACTGTACAAGTCCACCCTTTCAGCTCTGTTCGGACGGAGGAGAAAGCTCCGCAGAATACATCTATCCTCGGTCAGTCAACATTTCAGTATTTCTGAAGTCCTTGCCGCCAGCATAGTGACCCATTTGGCGCTATAAGTAGGCCTCATTCCATGCCGCATATGACTTCGTATATGTTTTCAAATAATACTTTTATACATACCTTGAAATTATTGATATGTAACCAACCTCCACACACTTAACATAACCCTCTAGGTGTTAACGATACAGGTACGGTTTGAAAGTGGCCAAATTTTGTCTCTTCGATGCAAAAGCGATTTCCTTGAATGTGGTGAAGCAAAAGTTATGTCCGCAGTTCTTATGGGGCGATCCGGCATGCGTAAGAAGCTCTTTGTATTTCAGGTGATTCGAAGGAAACAAACTTGAGAACGATGATGAGTGGGTCAAGGCATTCCAATAGTGGCGAATTCATCTACGAAGCAGGACATCAGGTGCTTTGTGCTGGGTCACAAGATGGAGACTCGTCAATTGCGAAGGATCATTGCCTTTGCGGCCCTTGTTTTGCTGCCGTGATTAGAATTGTCTTTGAGCATGCACGAAGAAGCAACTTCGATGTTTACTGTGATATTTACTTTGATACTTGCAAAGAATCTTGGATGCAGAATACAAGCAACTTAAATCTACACAGGATCACTTCTACAGTAGTCTAACAAATTATCATCAAAGGTGCTCATTGATCATACCTTCTCCGGTTCTTGCTGGCGTTGCATCTACCACCAATTTCAATGAACTCGTTATTTTCCCACTGAGACCACAATAGTTAAACACTCCACAGTAAATTATGAGCGAGATGATCAGTACGCTTTCAAATTTTTTTCAACTGCATATGATTACATCTATTCGATCATAAATCGAATATGACAAGGTAGATCATGAGAACTTGAAACTTCAATGACACAAAGATGAAAATGTTCCTTGAGAATTTTGAGGAATCAACTGAGGTATAAGTGTTCGGCACTGGAGTGTGGTGGGTATGCAGGATAGAGCCAAACCGATACTTCGTCCACGAATAAGGAAGCACATGAATGGCTGCCTTGGGTTTCAGCAATTTCCAGTGAAAACGAATGTTAGGAAGCTATTTGTTCTTCAGCAAGTGCAAGGGAGACACGTGGGGAGGACGATCTCACATTTGGGTTATTTAAAGAAACGTTGAAGTCCACAGTTTCTGATTTGCTCGACACAGCAACCGAGATGAATTAGCAGCGTGGAAGCTCCGGGGACCCACATCCGCAAGAACGGCAGGTCGCACAGGTGCATCACGACCTTCATTGCATTAGATTGTTCAAAGGGATCATCAAACAACATCGCGCGCCCGTTTTGTAGTAAGAACCTGGTTCTCAACTACGTTTTGGCATAGGCTCTGCTACCAGCGAAGTATGTTGAGAGCTCATCATTTGATCGGGTTCATGCAAAGTCGCAAATTTGTAGAACGAATCTAGCAAAGGCGCACTGGTTGTTGGGAATGACATATACAGTTGATTTTCTTGCAGCTGAGCAGGAAAACCACGTGATTGGACATGCGCTTAGAAGATAGGCACAGGAATTGGTTGGAGAATAAGTTGTCGCGATGATCATGGCGTTTGTAAGGAAGTTTCCGGTCACCACCCTGCTGGTGAATCTGTGTTTGTTGTTGCTTTTCAGTTTCGTCACGCTTCGCTCGCCTTCGACAGTGGCCGAGAATCAGGTCGGGTATGGATACCGTGTCATCTGTGTCAATCAGGTGATGAATGGCGACGCTCTCATAGCCGATCTTGACCTCATCAAGCGAACTGACGTTTACGGCCCTGACATCGAACGTCTTCAGCTCACTGTGAGGTGAATATTGATACAGGAAACAAACTCACATCTGAATTCATGCCAAGACGTGAAATCTTTCCGGAAAGAAAATCTTCCTCCTCCGGGATGTGTGGGGAATGTATTGAAAGTGTAACGTAGAGTTTTCACAAGTTTGATGGAATTCCTTGCGCAGGTATGACAACCAAGACAGGATTCGTGTGCACATCACAGACGCTAACACACTGCGATGGGAAGTGCCACCCGATCTCATTCCCAGGGCGACATCCCAAGAACTCAAGAGCCTCCGCAACACAACATACTCCCCCGATTCTTCCAAGGCTGCATGCCGGAATCTCAGGCTTCCAGAAATCCAAAACCCTACCATTCCATTACAAAACCCCGATCACCCGCTAGAATTTTCCTACACTACTGAAATATTTGGATTCGCAATCACGAGACGGTCGAACGGGGAGGTTCTGTTCAACAGCACACCAAGCGTCTCAACTGCCAATGGGCTATCTAACAATCTCGTGTTCAAGGACCAGTACATTGAGCTCTCCACCCAGTTACCCAAAGACGCTGCACTCTTTGGTCTAGGAGAAGGAACTCACAGTTCTGGACTTCGTCTTGCCAAGGGCAATACATATACTCTGTGGGCGACCGACATCGGAAGCTACAGGACGGACATAGATTTGTATGGGAGCTATCCGATATACATAGACGTGAGAAAAGGGGGATTGGCTCACGGCGTGCAGCTCGTCAACAGCAATGGTATGGATTGTGTCTACGGAGAGGACGGACTTACATTCAAAATGATCGGGGGTGTCCTGGATCTTTACTTCTTCGCGGGGCCATCACCAAGGAAGGTCTTGGACCAGTATACTCTGTTCGTTGGGCGGCCCGCTCCCATGCCTTTCTGGACTCTAGGTGAGACGTGTGCGCCACTTCGCCATGTCCATGATTAAATGAGTCTTCTTCGCAGTTTTTGAGGGATGATTTTACCAAGTTACATGACTGAATGCAGGGTTTCATCAATCACGCTATGGTTACAAGACATTGAAAGAGGTGGAAACGGTGGTGGCGAAATACAAAGAGATCGGGCTCCCTCTGGAATCTATGTGGTCTGACATCGATTACATGGACCGTTTCCGTGACTTCACCATTGATCCCGACACATACCCCCCTGTCGAGTTTCGCAAGTTTGTTGATACATTGCACGCGAATAACCAGAAGTTTACAATGATTGTTGACCCAGGTTGGTCATAAAAACATGATTGCTTCCCCTTATGCTTTGCAAATTCCATACCAGATTCCATTCTTTCAAGGCTCACTAAGTTATTTGAATTGAGCAGGGATCAAAGTGGAAGACAGTTACCCACCCTACGTGCGCGGCAAGGAGCTCGACATCTTCTTAAAGACCGAAAGCGGGGAGGAATACCTTGGCCAAGTGTGGCCAGGGGCAGTCCACTATCCTGATTTCCTCCACCCGAAAGCCAAACAATGGTGGACGAAGGAGATTTCGGAGTTCTACAAGGTGATGCCCTTTGACGGACTGTGGCTGGACATGAACGAGCCTTCCAATTTCTGTTCTGGACCGAATTGCTACTATCCTCCCGACGTCGTATGCCCGGAAGCGCTCGACTGGTGCTGCATGGTTTGCGACAACACGAATGTCTCGCGGTGGGACAGGCCGCCATACCGCATCACCAACACATGGAACAAGGAGCTTTACGAGAAGACCGTCACTATGACTGCACGCCACTACAACGACGTCAAGCACTACGATGCGCACAACATCTACGGATTCAGTCAGACGGTCGCCACTTTTAAAGCTCTCAAAGAGGTAAAAAACCGGCGACCTCATTGCCTCTCAGACACTGTAAAAACGATTTCTCGAAGCAGTTTGGCTTGGTGGAAATCAGAGGTTTGCAATTTAGTGAAATCGTTCCAATGAAATGGAAAATTGATTTGTGAGAACTGAACAGGTAACCAAGAAGCGGCCATTTGTGATGTCACGCTCCTTGTATCCTGGCTCGGGTGCCTCCGCTGCGCACTGGTCGGGTGACAACGGCGCTTCATGGAACGATTTACGATACTCGATCGCCAGTATCTTAAATTCAGGCCTGTTTGGCATTCCTATGGTAGGGGCAGACATCTGCGGCTTCATCCCAGCCACTTGGGAGGAGCTTTGCAATCGATGGATTCAGGTGGGCGCCTTCTATCCCTTCGCTCGCGACCACTCTGACGTGCACTTCGGCCCCCAGGAGCTCTACCTCTGGAAATCCGTCACACATTCCGCGAGGAAAGTCTTGCCACTGCGGTATAAACTCCTCCCTTTCATGTATACGCTACTCCACGAAGCTCACATGACGGGCGCTCCCGTTGCACGTGCCCTCTTCTTCGTCTTTCCAGAGGATCCCACCACATACGATGTTAGCGACCAGTTCCTTCTAGGGGACGCGATCCTCGTCTCCCCTGTTGTCAGTGAAGGGCAAACTTCCGTGAATGCGTACATCCCCAAAGGCAACTGGTGGAACTTATTCAATTGGTCGCCGATCCACTCCAATGGCTCGTACTACAAACTCGATGCGCCTTGGGACACTATCAATGTCCATGTCCGGTCTGGTTTCATTCTACCAATGCAGGAGTATGCAAACACTACGGCTTTGGTGCGAAGTTCCCCAGTTACGCTGCTCGTTGTATTCTCTGGAGTGGAACAGGAGTCTGCGTCTGGTGAGCTGTTCCTCGACGATGACACGGAGATTGGTATGGAGATCCGGCCCAAAACCTCCACTCACATCAAATTTGTGGCTGCAAAATCTGCGAGTAGAGGGTCAGTCCGCTCCACTGTGAGATATGGCGAGTGGGCGGAGCAGCAGGGATTGTATGTGCACAAGATAGTGCTAGTGGGTCTGATGACACCAGCGAGCTCTCTGTTGATTGATGGAGCTCCCTCTCCTGACATTGTGACGCTTAATTTCGACAAAGCCTCTTCGATACAGGAGATTTCAGGCTTGCGGTTGTCTGCTGGCAAAGATTTTGAGGTTGCATGGACATCCACTACACATGCTGTTGATTCCATCGCTACTAGTTTGTGGCAACTTTCCTGTTTACATTCAAACTGATAGGAAATTTTAGAAGATGAAGGTGCGGGAAATTGACAATCTTCGTACCATGATAGGAAAGATTTCATCAACTAGCTTCCTGCAATAAGCTTATTGCAGGCTTATCCAGTGTAATTTTTCACTTGCATAGGAACATGAGTTGTCACTTTGAGCAGCCGAATTGTACTGAAAGTTGAGAATTTTTTTTCCTTTCAGTGAAAATTAACGTGTGCACAGGACGTTTGAAATTTACAAAAGAGTATTCTTAAGAAACGTCTTCTCTGAATTTTTTATCTCCGGAATGAAGTTGTATGTTTTCTATTGTACATCTCAAATTTGGATTATTTACAATCAATCAACAATTTGATAGGTTATTTTTTCGTTCAGTTGCTATCTCACTGCAAGCCAACATTACCGGCAACTAATAAGTGGTCGATTGTATGACATGGTCTGTTACTCTCATTTGTATTCATAACTCCTCAAGATGCCCCTGAAAACTCTCGACCACATGAAAATGGATTGAGCATCGATACGTAGAATAGTGAATAGTTACGCACTGTTCTACATAATCGATGATCAGTTTGAAGATTTTAAGTGTAAGTTTCTTGAGCGTCATTTACACTCCCAAAAGCTTAGGATTCAATTTAAAGGAACAAATTAATCAAAGATGAAAGGCAAGGGAACCAGTCATTTAATGACGCGTCACGTGAGATGACATGATACATATACTGTGCAGGGTGTACGAAAAAAATCATGATCCACATTGTTGCCTCTTCAAAACTTTAAGATAAAACTACATTTCCGTTTGAAACAATCGTACATCTATTTGATCGCACGATAGGCGAACCCTCACGTGCTGCGCGAGACTGAACATATGAGTCAAGGTGCTTGCGCACATCGATCTTCGATCATCTGGATCTCCAAGCTCTCTATCTACACTCTCCATTATCTCTACTTAAAGTAACTCTCTTCTAGGTGTTTCCTGCATTGACCCCACCAGTGTGCAACCACAATCCCCGCTATTTTGCATCACTCCCGCTCTCTCACATTTCGCAGACGAAAACTCTTTCGAAACGAACACTCTGTCTTCCGCGATTAGCACAGTGACTTCTGCATCGGAACCTGACTCAGAGTCCGATTGAGAAGCTCTTCTGCCGGCGTCCGGTGGCGCAGACGTAGCTTCACTTTCGATGACGTGCCACTCTGCCATTGCAGCAGTTGCACTTGCCTGACCCCCTGCCAAGTGATGTTGATAATCACATTACAAGATGTTGAGCATGATATACTGGCACTATGTCGGCATCGACTTGACATTCAGTAACCAAGTCTAAGAGCTGATTTGGAGCCATTCGATGGCGCGATCCTTGCTTCTGAATACAAGAACTCTCTCCAACGTTGGCACAAAATTTGAAAACTTTCCCCAATGACGACTGCTGCGAGAAATGTTAATGCTTAAACTGCTTCTAATCAAGGAGTGATTGAAAGGGAAGGAAAGAGGCGCAAACCTGGATAAATTGTCACATTGCCTCCATCACCATAATCTCTTCTAAATCAAAATCAATTTCATCGGCTCTTGACAAAACACCATAGATTGGTCACCTAATAGTTGTAAATTCACAAGAATATGGTGTCCACTGTGCAGGTTCTCACGGCGGCAGATTAGATCTACACCCCATGACCATGCTTTTCTTTCACCGTCTACAAATTAGAGGAATTCCCATAAAATCCTGTTTCTTGTAGCCACACCTGGGCCGACAAAAGCCGGGTGGGTAGGATCCAGGCTGATGCTGCTGAGAAGCTGCAGATTCCAGGCCACGACGCGGTTGAATGCTAGGTGGTAACAGCGCTAGGGGCAGGAGTGGGAGCCAAACTTCCTTCACTCCCATACTCCTCACAGATCCACAACGAGTCCAGATCATCACGTGGACTAGACCTATCGGACATGCCCGATGTAGCAGACTCCTGCCCCATTAACAATAGTTTAAAATAACACCTTAAGACATGAACTGCAAAACATGAGTGCATTCAAAGTACTATTCTCACGAAGACTCACTCACGTACTAAACGAATTTGTATCGAAATTTTCCAAACATATAATCGTGCATTAGATTATGTGCGAAGATTTGTTTAGTACTTCTAAATCTTACTTGTGCAAGATCATTGGCCTTTTGGGTCTTCTGGTCCTCACAATTACTTAAGCCAGCAGGATGAGATGGAACATCCAACGATGAGTCAAGTATCCTGGTATGCCGGCAATGATACTCCGGCATCCTGCTTGGCAAAGGGAAGCTGCGAGACAGTGGGGAATGGTAAACTCCCCAAGTCGATCGCCACCTTCCCACAAATGGTTCAATTCGTTTCTCTTTCAGCACCGATTCTGATGTTGGAGTAATCACGTCCAATACATCGTAAACTCTTATCTTATGAAACGTCATTAAGCACTTAGCACAATTGGGCTCACAGTAGGGGCCACAAGTTCTAAAGCTCGAAGGTCCAGCTGTGAGGCTAGGTCCACAGGGCTTACGCAGCCATGGCTTATCAAAGCAATAATTAGGTTCGCACAGATCTAGTTTCCATTTGTCAAGATCGAGTGTGAGCTTCACCTGTGGGGGCGTTTCAGTTTGTTGGGGAGGCTCTAGCAAACGGCTGCTTGGAAGTACATCAGTAGTAGCCCTTGACGCGTGACAACCCTCTTCCTTGCGCTGCTCCCGATGTTCATCATCTAAGATCTCCCGTTTACGCATCCGTATCTTGGCCTCAATTACCTTCTGCTCCTCCTGCAAGTTCGTTACATTATACAACCGGAGTTTGTGAACTTGTGAGAAGCTTAGGCGCCTAATTTAGGTTACAAATTAACTCATCAGAACCCCCTAAAATATTGAAAACTCTTCACCTTAAAAATCCATTAATACAATGCTTGTCAAGAAGTTTTCAAGATGTTAAACAACAGTAATAAGGAAGGTCTACTCGCACTTACAGCAGCTTCAATACCCTTCTCCTCCAGTGACTTGACACCTCGATACTCCACACCATAGTTGTAAGATTTGCAGAAGGGACATCTTAAGCAAACAAAACAACGGAATCAGAAAATGAAAGAAAGCTTAACCAATGATTACCAGAGCATCGAACATTTCTGTGGGCTGTTTTAGGAGTCACTGTGAATGCTTACTGTATTGACCGAGCTGTGCGCGGAGATTTCATCTGCAGAAAACACTCTGCAGAATACGAGATACCAAGTTAGGGCAATTCCAGAAGCGGTAAAAAAAAATCAAAATCTAATCGAAATTAATTAATCAATAAGTAAATCCTTTACGAACCACCCAAAACGAAACAGGTACTAATTGAATCATACTCATAAATAGCAGACCGTCGGATTTTATTTTCCACGGAATGAGTATTATGTAAATAACGAGACAAAACAGTTCACGAATGCGACATTGGGTTATACCTGTACATACGCCTTTTGAGCAGCATTTGGATCGATTCAGACTTGGATAAGACTGCAATGTAAGGTCATTAACACCCACATGTTGTTAGCTTCAACGCGTTCAAGGAATCTGAGTAGAGCTGATTTAACAGCTGTAATTCGTTAAAAAGCAAAGTAAACAATTCATACCAAGAAGCAGATTGGGCACTCTTCGAAATCGGCGTTTGCCTCTTCTTCCCCAGGGAAACAAGGAGCAAGTTTGGAATCCAAGATAAGACGGCGCAATTTCTTTTGATCGACACCACGCTGAGGATATAAACCTTGGAGCCGAGTGTAGCGCTCATCCACAGTTGAGCACCTCCGAGTTACTTTATTCCCCATGACAATAGATGTCAGCAAGTTTTCACCTAATTGTCCCAGGAGGTACTGCATCCACCAGTCACGAATGTGGTTAGTGCGAATGTCGTTGGTAATTGGCACAGGCAGAGGTTGCCTAAATTGTTCAAGTTAAATTTTAAGCGACACGTGCTTCATCTCGTCACACACAGAATGAGACTTACTTCCAGAATACAAAATCATGGAAAACAAAAGAGTCAGTGGGTCCATCAGTCACGTTCAATAGAATTATTCATAATCAAAGAAGGAATCAACCAGATAATAATGGAGCCCGATCAGCGTTAGACAATTCCGACTGACTGTACATGCATTAACCTTCACTATGGTTACCTTGCAGCGAACATACGTCGACGCTCTCCTGGTAGAATTCAAAGAGAATGGTAGTTCATCTCGAATGGGTGCTTGAGGCTCAATCGCAACCTGATGTGAAATACACCCAACCGTCAACCGGGCTACAAGAATCTTCAATGTGAATTGACCCATTTTGCAGAAGAAAGACAGCGCTCACTAATCTGTAAGCACCGTGGGCAACAAGCTTTCCGACATGAAACACACATATTCCTCCACATTCGTTCAATGCCATTTGTTCGTTGGAAATCGTTCCTCAATACAGGCACTCCTCCCGTTCCTATTCTCTCCAACAAGAAACAGTTACACAAAACCATGACCTCGCACCCAACTCAACGCCACATCCACTCATCACATTGCTTCACACGCTCCAATCCTACCACCCCATACACGGAAAACGGATCAAATTCCACCAGGAAAACAAACCATACCAGAGACACACCACACACACACACACACAGAACTTCAACACACACTCACAGCCTCAAACTCCACAACCAGAGAGACAGAAACCGCATTCCAATTCCCGCGGGCACAAGACAGGAACCCAACGCACATTAAAACTCCGCAGCAGCAATGCACACTTCACATCAGATCACCATCAAATGACCCTCCAATTCAACAACCCTCCAATCCAAACCAGGCATCATCGTCATAGTCATGGTCATCTTCTTCTGCTTCTTCTTCTTCCTGACTACCACCCAGCGCCGAAATATGCACCCTCAACCTCCATGTGCGTGGTGCAACGCGCGTTGATGCATGAGTCGAAGGTTGGTGCCATTGCAATTATGAGAGGAGGAGGGGGGGCAATAATAAGGTAAGAGGCACACATCTCAAGAGAGCAAGAGACGCGTTTTGCTGATCTCTCTATCTCTCGCTCTCTCTGTCTCTCACTCTCTCGGAGTAGCCACCATTCATTCCTCTCGCAACCCCCAAGCATGCCGAGCGAGCTCCACCCTCGCCGCCTCCGACCACTGGACGCCGTTCAGTAGACGCCGTCTGGGATACGGCGACTAGTGGCTGCCGACCTGCACGAGCACCACCACCCACTTCGTGAGCGCCGCATGAGACCCACTTTGTGATTGCAGAATGAGATGGGAGGAGGAGGGATTATTATTGAACGACAATTCTGTGTTGTCATGCTTGTCTGTCCCTCCTTTTCAGCTTCATTTATGATTGTGTGGAAAGTGTGATGCCCCATGAATTAGTTCCCTGCCCAACGTGTCATGTTTTGTGGTCCAAAACTTGGCTTTCTTTGTGTTTATTTTTAGATGTTCATTTTTGTTGAATGCTACAGTTGCTGTTACTGTTTATTTGATTGTTTGTTTTTTTTGTTGCTTTTTCTTTCTTTTGTTAAATGGAGAAGATTCTTCTCATTAATAGAAAAGTGATAGGACGAGACAAATGTGACCAGTGTTTTTAACACCCTGCCTGCAAGGGTCGACTAAGTGACAACAGCTGACTTTTCTTACTCACCTAAATTCTTTATTGCACTCTTGGGGTATTAGTGATAAAAGAATACTTGAGGAAATTTGGAGAGGTCTTATCTCCAGCCATTTGGCCATCCATGTTTTTCTCTAAAGTTTGTTTGGATGTGTAACCTCTTTATATCTTCTTTGAATACAAATCTTTATATGATTTTTGTCTATTTGACCCAAATGTTTAGATTATCTATTCTAGATTCAAAAACCATATAAAAATAGATAACACTAGTTGTCTAAGAAATAGACTTCAAATATTTCAAAATAACATTGTTTTTTGGTAATAAAATATACACTTATTCATGAAATTTCTATACACAAACGTGTATACATACATATATATATATATATATATATACAATATAATTTATAACTTCTTATTTTGAGCAGAAATTTTTTGCCCTACAAAAATACAGACTCCCTTAATTTACATATCGTTCTTTACTTCTTTGTTTTACTGTACTTCTTTGTTTTACTTTACTTCTTTGTTTTAAATATTGTTTGAATGTTTATTGTCATTATTTATTAAGTAATTTAGATCTGATATGGTTGAATACAAATCATAGCTTTTAAACTTCCATGTTGACTAATTATATTTTAGCTTTTAAACTCTTTTATTGACTAATTATTTATAATTAGTCAATGTAAAAATTTGGCATCTTTTAATTATAAATATACAAGCATTAATTATATATTATTAGATCATAAAAAATTATATAAATATTATATAAATTATCATTTTTATAATATAATAATTTTAAAAAATTATATTATAAATTTATTAGTAAAAAAATATTTTTTATTTTTATTTTATTTTATTTTTAATATTCATGATAAACACTCATTTTGATATTAGAATAATTATTATCTTTTGAATTTTTAAAATTACAAAACATATATTTTATACAAAATCTTTGATTGATAATCTTACATAGTTTACTACATGCAAATCAAGAAAAAAAAGTTAATTAATTATAAATAAACAATCAAAGCTGTTAAACTTCTACATTGATTAATTTTAAATAATATAGAAGATGTTTTAGATTTTTTAGTTTAAAATAAATATTTTATTTTTAAATAAAAAATTACTTATTTGTAGTTTTTATATATTTATTGTGCTAAAGATCAACAACCTCTATATTCAGCTCAAGAAGAATTATTTGATGAGTTATCCAACAAAGTATTTAGATTATCACATCTTTTAAGATGACATAATAAAGATGTAGGTTTTTAAGAATGACATGTTTTTCTTCAAATAGTTGGTAAGATACAACATGTTTAATAGCATGACCTTTGAACAAATTATCAATATTTGGTAATATTATTGGAGGTAGAAACTACTTTTTACAGTATTTCAAATATTTTATTTGAAAAAAGTTACAAATACCATAATAATGATCAAAAAATAAGGTGGTCTTTTCATCTTAGTATAAAAGAATATTCATGATGAAGATGATCTATTAGTTACATTAATATAAAATAAAGATCAAAGTATTTGGCATATATAATTCATTACATCTTTGTCATAAACATACATATTTACTCTAATATTTATTAATATGATTAAATAGAAGTAAGTAAAAGTAAATTTATTTCATAATATTTTCTAAGAAGCATTTTAGAAGCTTAATAGATGTTGCTTTGATTTTACATGTGTTTATATTTGATAAGTAGATTAAAAACTTGATCAACAAATTAACCACATATTGGTAGCTTGGAAAACAAGCTAACTATCTGGCACACATACAAAAAACTTATCTTACAACTTCAGATGTGTGTCTTGTAAAGTCAACATGTTTTAAAGGTCTTATAGGATACTGCCACATAGCTCCTAGTTAAAAATATATACGGAGGCAAGAATAAAGCCTTCTTTACTCTTGTCAATGCCTTTCTAGTCTTTAGTCTTATTTCAAGACTTTATAGTCTTTTTGTCTTTAGCAATAGCCATTTTAGTTTAATACCATATCACCTTTGACTGATTTTTTAGTCTTTTCAAGTAGCATGAGAATGTATTGATATTTTAGTTTTTTGAGGTTTATATCCTAGTATCAAGGACATGAGTCTCGAAGAAAGAGAATCCTCAAAACACTCTTCTATCATTGAAGAGAACTAAAAAGTCATCCAAAAGATGATATAATATTAATTAGAATGGCTATTGCCAAAAACAAAATGACTAGAAAGATCTTGAAACAAGACTAAGACTAGAAAGGCGTTGACAAGAGTGAAGAAGGCTTCACTCTTGCCTCTATATATACAATCTAACTAAGAGCTATATGAAGATGTCTTGTCACGGACATATGCATGTAAGCCAATAATTACATGTATAAATAGGTAGAAGTAAGTAAAAGTATATAAAAGTAAGTTAATTCTATAGTATTTAATATGGAAGCTTCCAAGAAGCTTTATAGATACTGCTTTGACTTTATAGGTGTCTTTAATTGATATTTTGAGATTAGAAACGTGGTCAACAAGTTGGCCATGTGCCATACATGTTGTTAACTTGAAGACCAAGCTAACTATGTGGACCACACGTAGAAAAACTTACCTTGTAAGTCAAGGCATGTATCCTACAAAGTCAATACATATTGGAGGTCCTATAGAACGTCGCCACGTAGCCCCTAATTAGATAGTATATAAAGAGACAAGAGTGAAGCCTTTTTTACTCTTGTCAACTCCTTTCTTCCTTCCAGTCTAGTTTCAAGGTTCTCTACTTTTCTTAACTTTTGGCAATAGCCATTTCAGTTTCTTTTCTTAATATATATATCAAATTATTTCTATTTTGTCATCTTTCTATGAGAGAAGTCTCACTTGTTTATTTATCTTTATCATGTTCTTATCCTTGACAGATTCACAAGAATACATCTACAATATCAAAGCTTTGTCTAATCTTGATTAAGAGTGGATTACCCATTTCTCTTGATAAGACATAAGCATATTAGAAGTTACGGATTACCCTCTTCTAAACTGATATTATTCTTAGTATTTTCTTTGTTCTCAAGTCCTCTCTTCTATTTGTCTTGAGCGATATTAGACATCTTCTCTTTTCTAAGTCTTATCATGGCAGAACTTGCTGAAATGAAGAATGCAATAGCACAAATGCAAGAGCAATTGAGGGAGTTAATGCTTGCGATGCATCAACTCAATTTATCACCACAAGAAGCAAGAAGATTGGCAAGAAGTGAAGATATAGAAATGATTGGAGCTGCTTCAATATCTCCACCAAATCATGTCCCTTCTCCTATGGTGGAACACCCTTCTTGTGTTAGAGAACCAAGAATTACCTTATCCGAGAAATTTCATGGTACCAGATCCAAGTTTCGAAGATTGTTCAATCAAGTGTAACTTGTGATTGAACTTCAACCCCAAAGCTATCCTACTTCAAGATCACAAATTAGATTCATTAGTACACTTCTTTTAGGTTCAGTACTATCATAGTTTTAGCTTTTTTTGAATGACGAGATCCAATATTGGATAATCTAGAGGCTTTTTTAGCAGAGTTTTGATCCATGCATGGAGAATATGATGCAATTCATGTTGCAACCAATAAGATCCGTATTTTATGACAAAGCAATCAATCAATAATATTGTATACTTCACAATTTTGACAACTTACAATTGATATCAAGTGGGATGATGCTGCACTTATTAACCAATTTCTCTACGGATTATAATATGAGGTAAAAAAATTAATGCTCGACTTACCTGATCCTCAAACATTCACTCAAGCAATTGATTTTGCTATGAAATGTGACAATTACCTTTTTGGATTCGGATCTAAGAACCGTACAAGTGGACCTCAATGTTACTATAATTCAATGGCAACACCAAAACCTCTTCAACACATACATTTGGAAGTAGAAGATATGCAAATTGATGCAGTACGTTTCAAATCTCTTATTAAGCAAGAAAAGACTCGTCGTCGTCAAGAAGGATTATCCTTATATTGTGGAGAACCTAAGCATAATGCTCAACATTGTCCAAAGAAGCGACGCAACCATAAAATGAGGAGTATGGCGATCAAAGAAGATAGCATGTCGAAAAATGAATTTGTCCAGCTACAATAGGGACCGTGCAGTTGGAACCTTGTATAATGCCTAGTGAAGGTCATATCGTCTCCTCAAAACCCTCTCCATATTTTACAATAAATGTTATTTTAGGACCTAAACATCTCAAAGCCTCTACCTTGCTAAATTCAAGAGCATCAATATGTTTTTTAGATGAAAAATTTGCTAAAAGATATAGCATATTTTTAGTAAAGAAAATTAAACATGTTCATGTAGAAGTCATAGATGGTCGTCCGTTGACTTCAGGAGATGTTACTCATGAAACAATTCCTATAGAAATAGCAACTAATGGTTATAGTAGCTTTATAGTATTTAATATCATTAGATCTCCTTTTAATCCAGTCATTTTAGATTTATCATGGCTAAAATAATATAATCCTAAAATAGATTGGACTTCTTGTAGTCTTGACTTTTCTGAAAGTATAACTAAAAGTATAGTTAATCAAATAGAAAGTCATAAGTCTAATATAATTAAACCTATATTTGTAGGTACAAGTGCTTTCTTACATGCTGTAAAAGAAGGATCACCTTGTGTCATTTATGCCACACTTGTTTCTATCGG